TTTTTAAAAAAATTAAGGGAAGAAAAATTAAAAGCAGTTGTTTGCTTTTAAACCACAAATAATATATTAATCATAAAGTGACATCCACACAAGTATTTTGGAAAACATGTTGCAAATTAATGAAGACAACAATTACAGAATTTTGTAATAACTTACTGTTTATTATTTGGTTCTTTAAATCTATGCTTTAATTGCATTTTGGACAATCAAACAATTACATAGCATAAAACTGCAGAACAAGCATGAGGTCATATACCTTCTAAAAAGCTCCTTTCTCTGTTCCATAACCCAAGGTCTTCCATAAAAACCTGTAAGAAATTTTGAAGGTAAAATTTAAGTATTAAAACTAGTTTGAAATAATCAACCTTCACAATAGAAAGCTTTGACCAAATGCGTTTTCATAATATTCATATAAAATAGAATTTATAATCTTCTCTTGCCTACCTAATTTCTGCACCTGTGAGAAACAGCTGAAACAGAAATCCTATGTGAGCAGATGTAACAGCAGATGGAGTGTACTACTCTGAAGAACAAGAGTGGAATTTAGGAATTCTCCTGGACTGATGGTTCAGATTACAGTAGCAGCTAAGAATTATTTTCCTTTATGATTCTATGCTAAATAAGTATCTTATTTGAAGATGTTTGATCTCAACCTCAGTTACTCATGCATATCTGGCAAGAACATTTTAATATGCTGTATGACTGCAAAGCTTCTCCTAGTTTGATCAAGACCATATAATTCAGTGTTTCTCAACCTTGACAATTTTAAGGCATGTGGACTTCAACTCCCAGAATTCCACAGCCAGCATTGCTGGCTGTGGAATTCTGGGAGTTGCAGTCCACATGCCTTAAAATTGTCAAGGTTGAGAAACACTGAATAATTGATTTTTTATTGTGTCATCTGAATTGTTTGCCAGAAGTATGAGAATTATTATTGAAGTTTTTTGAACCGTTATTTGAAAGACTGCTTCATTCATATTACTTACCAATGGTTTAAGATTCACAACAGTATTCCTTCTCACAAACCCATACTAAAGTACTTAGGATGGGTGAGATAAAGATTTTCTCTAGCAATAGCACCCTATTTTAGAAATTTTAGAAACAACCAGAATCTAAAAGATTCCATCGTTTCAGTTTTTTTAAAACTTAATTGATTCATTTTTCTTTGGGTATTCTATTTCATTGCCGAATTGCTGCTTTTTAGTTTATTAGATTTTTAGCCTCCCTTTATTACCATATAAGTAACTCAAGATGACATACATAATACTCTTTCCTCCTCCTATTTCCCCAACAACAACTCTATGAGGTGAGTTGGGTTGAGAGTGTATGACTGGCCCATCTGTCATCCAGCTTTTTCGTTAATTTTATCTTGGAAAGGTAAAGGTAGCTTGAAGATGTTTGGTATTTTAAAAAATAAATAGCACTCAAAAATTATGGAAAGATTCATTTAAAAAGTAGAAGTCATTCAATTAGTTTTGCCCTAAGCAATTTAGAGCTTTATAAATGAATTGAGCTCAAAGGCAACTTTGAATAAGGCTAATTCAAGACTGTCATTATACTGTACACCCTGTAAAATGTGTATCAGTCAACAATATAACTGCCATATTTTGCAGTACCGGTACATTAATAATAATAATAATACTTTTTAATTACTTCAGGGCAGCCTTATATAACAAAAATAAACACTTAAGGTATATGAAGGAATATCCAGCTGCCACTTGATCTTCCAATAGCAGCCTCAGAATCAAGATTATTGCAAAATTGCACATACAATTAAAGAATACACTAATAGTAAGGTTTAATGGTTTAAGAGGCATTGGAGAATTAATCTATAATCTAATCCTCCAACTTTTCCTGCATAAAAATTATACACTAGGATTTGTCCCAATGTATTTGGATAAAAATAAGCTTTTGAAATAATGTCTATCTGAAAATCGGTTCTAATGCATTGATATTCGTATTAGTTCCCATAGCCACATCTTCTCCCACAGACCTCCATGTGGCTACTCAAAATGCTAGTGAAATTTTTTAACATTGTTACAAGTCTTCATTAACTCTCAAGAGATCACCTTGTTCTGATCTTGTTTTCATACCAAGTCTTCTAGCACACATCCTTTAAAGATGGAAGCTTCTAGCATTGTGAGGGTCCTCTGAGGTGAAAGTGGAAGAATATCTTCCAAAATCATAGATTATGCTTCTTCAGATACTGTATTTTGTCCTGACTGGATCCATGATTACTTTAACTACTAATCTCAAAAATGTTAATATTAAAAAAAATAGGATTGCTATCACCAATCATAAGGTGCTCAATCTAAATAGCTAAAGAGACAACTCCATCTCCCAAAACTGGGAGGAATATCTATTTCTATATACATCAGCTCACCAACAAAACAATGTGTTTTTTATTATTCACCACCTTTCCTTTCTAATGGCCATTCTGTATTTTTTCTTCATTCTGTTTATAAAATCATCCCAGCATAATTCAGAATAACTGCTACTTATAATACAAAATGTTTATATTAATATAGATTGAAATCTTTAAGTTCCTAAAGTTATAAGTATAAAAATTTCAACAATTGCCAGCATAGAAGCTGTTATGCTCCTCTCAGGTTTTCAAAATCATCAATCAGTCATTAAGTTTATTCTAAAAAAGGCAGAGGGAAAGATTAAATCTATACATTGCATTCCAGTTTACCTATACTTTAGCACAGTGGTGGCGAACCTATGGCACGGGTGCCAGAGGCGGCACTTGGAGCCCTCTCTGTGGGCACACGTGCCATTGTCCCAGCCTTGCCTCTCCCACGACCCCCTCTCCAGCAGCCCCCCTGAAGGAGAGTCGCCAAGCGTGGCCCACACAGAGCAGCGCAGCCAAGGACATGGCAGCCAGGTAGCGTAGACAAGACTCTGCCCTCACACCCCATCATGCAGTTGATGTTGCAGGGTGCGGGCAGAGTGTGTGGCCGCCATAGCGCTGCTGGGCTGCCTGGACGATCTGAGGCGGGCCCTGGAGGCAGTGAGTGGTCCTGTGGGCAGACGGGGCAGCGGATGGGGGGTGGAGCCAGTTTTGGGGCATTCAGTCTCTAAAAGGTTTGCCATCACTGCTTTAGCACATATGCAGTTGAATAAGCACATACTATATTACAACTTCAATTGTTAATAATGTTTTCAACATACTGGGATTGATGTGATATTTACTGCACATCTGGAAATATTTGCTAATCATCCAAATTCTATTATTCCATTCCTGAAGTTTGCACAAAGCAATTAATCTAGATGCATCTTCCTCCATATTAATCATATTACAATAATTAAACAGAAGCTTATTTTTTCATCTTTATGTATCACTGCTTCTCTCTGTTCCGAGACAAATATTTTGCTATAGCATAAACCAATAAAACAAACAGTAACTGCAGCCAATATGGTTACTATGTGGGTAGAAAGAACAAGATTTCAATGATATCCTTAGTTATATGTTTTAAGTTCACTCTAGAATAGAAAATGGTACAGTACCTAAGCAAAAATATTTCCTAAACCTGCAGTAGTCTATTTTTGTAGACAACAGTAAATCTAGTAATTATATAGGCTTTTAATTTTAAAATAACCAATTATGTATTTCCCATATCCAGTGAATGCACCTTGAATTAGTCATTTTGAAAATAAAGTTATTGCTTTAATGCATAGAAAAAACAAAAACCAAAGATAAAAAAATATCAATACAACACATATATATTACAATTCATAAATAAGAAAATCTCAGTATTTTTAGTAACTGATTAAAACGAACACATCAGCTTTTGCTTAGGAAAAAGTCTGAGAAAATGAGTAGATATTAAAAATTTTATATCAGGCCTCATAAGCGATCATGGATGAGCACAAATCTATCCTATCAAACATGCTTATTAGATGTAGTTAACACTATAGCCTAGTGGGAACAATCTGCTAAATATTCAGAAAGTTTGCAGCTCAGATAATTAATCTTCAGAGGATGCACCTACCTCTATATTACTTTGTGTTTTCATCCATCTTATCTATAGTGCTGTAACATTTTTTTAAAAAAAAGCATACATAAAAAGCCCTTCGCAAACAATTCAATCTGTGACTCTTCTTTTAAAGACTTAATTTCACGCCTGATGGCATGTTAATCATCGGGCTTCTGCCAAGCTCACCGAAAGCGACCAATTGAAACTGGGGAGAAAAGGAGCCAAGTTAACCTCCTCCGCCGCCAGATTTTACTGGTAGGGCGGAGTCAGGCGCTACACAAAGAGGTAAAGAGTAAGGAAGGCAGGAGGGGGAGCACCGCTTTGTTCAATGGCGGGTCCTCTTTTTCAGCGCTCTTTATCGTGACCCAGCCCCGGGTCCCTCCCGTTTCCGAGATCTCCCCATTACCTTCCACAACGCCGCAGAGGAATCGCCGTGCTCCCGCGCTACCCACAGCTCCGGAGCCACTCTCGGGAACCTCTTCTGGGCCCGAGGGGTCCGGTCTGGTAGGGGGCGACTCACTTCGGGGTGAGGAAACGGCCGTAGAACTAGGAACGGACGTGCCCTGGGGTTCCCCCCGGGTTTCAGCGACCATCCCAGCCAGATCCACTCCAGGGCTCCCGTCCGCTGCCATCGCCCTTCCCTGCACTCTAACCAGGGTAGGCTGCGCTTGCGCGGAGAAAACCAGCCCCAACCGGTCCAAGCCGGAACCAACCGCTCCGCTCCCTTGATTTCCAACCGGGACCGCGGTTGGTGATCACGTGCAGCTCCACCTCTCTTCCTCTGCGCGCCAGCCAGAAACACGAACCGCGAACAGACCACTCAACGCAACGCTAGCTTCAGAGAATGAACCGATAATTGTAAGGGTGGGGACAGAACTGACAGAGAAACCTTACAGCGCAGGCGTGAGGGTCTAGCAGACTACTAACTGCGCATGCTTAACAGGGTCAGAGGAGCAGGGACGCGTCTGTACGCATGCGCAAAAATGAAGCCTTGCTCAACTGCGCATGTGATAGGCGTTGGCTTCGCAGCAAGGCATTAAAAGCGCATGCGTAGTTACTGGACAAATTCCGGGGGCGGTACGGCGCAAGTGAGAAGGAAAATAAACAAAGTAGCCACTATTAAAGCGCAAGCGCAGAATTTAAAGCGGGAAAGGGAGCGATTATTTTGTTTAGGCGAATGTTGTCCAAGGGGGTGGAGTCTTGTGTAGGCTGAAACGTTCAGCGCTTTCCGCATTATTTTCGTTTGCAAGCGGTTGAGGAGGAGGAGCCCTTTTTTACAGTATTTTGTGCCTGGTTGCTGAGCAACATTATCGGCGCCTAGGGAAAACTATTGCATACCTTCGGCCGTTTAACCTGCAAGATAAAAAAATGAAGTAACCTACAAGATAAAAAATGAAGTAACTTTAACCTACAAGATAAAAAATGAAGTAATAATATTAGAAATATTATGTTTCACCGGTAAACCAGAAAGCTTTTCGATTGCCGTGTTTTCAGCTGTAAAAAATTCCGTCACAAATCCTGGAGAGTTATCGGCTGCCAAGCAGCTCTGAGATAGAAAAGCGGCATTAATTTGTTTCGCTTATTCAATAATTTCCCTCTAATTTTCAGCGAAGAAGCTTGTCTCTCCACTACAAATGTGTTGCCTAAATATATTATCTCCTTATTCCTGTCCAAGCCGGAAAAAAAGTAAACTTTCCGACTCCAGCTCGTCTACTACCGTAGTAACTCAGGATATCTTTGGGCGACTTCGCAATTGCCTTCTGTGATTGTTTTTCTTTTCGACCTCGCTGGCAAGACGGTAGCCCTGAGTTTTTTTACACGAGAGAAAGGGCAATGCTGATGCAAACTATAATAGTTTGGGTGGATTAGAAGGAACGAGGAGAGAATCTAGGAGTTAATTAGTAAAACCATACCAATCTAGCTAATTTAATTCTGTTAATTTGATAATCGTTGGATATGTGTGGGCTGGAAAGTATATATAATATGTTCACCAACTTGAGTTATTTATAAAAACAAAGGGGTACAAATAAACAGCTAGAATGGCAAAATACTTAGTACTCCTGATACTGTTTATAGTATTTACATTTGCAGTAATTTTATATAGTTACCAAGGTTTAGTGGAGCAGGGGATACTAATGCTTTTAAATAAAATAAATATTACCTAATGTCAAGTACTGATAATAATAGATTGTAATTGGCAGAAAAATATTAAAAATAATCAGTCCTTGAAAAACTGCTTGGAAGGTTGGTAATCTGAAGGTAATACGCCATTGGCCTAATTTAGAAAGAAATCCCTCAAGATTGGCTGCTGTTTTCTTGCAAATTACAGTATTGCAAATTACAGTATGTTGAGTGCATAGCTTTGGACTCATGGATCTCCATCTTCCCCACCTAAATTCAACCCTTTTGTGACTTTTCAAGGTTGAAAATTCAGAATAGGTTAAAAAAAATCTGGAGTCTAGTAAGCATCTTTTCCGATTAATACAGTTTATTAAAAGCATCAACTTTTGTGAGCCGCAACTTACTTCATCAGCTGCATAGTGCATCCTACATAATTTATGTAAAATTTAAATTTGTAGCTGGAAAAGTTTTTTTTCTTCTAGACTGACACTTATTTTTCAGTTCTGAAAATTAAATTGAAATAAACTTTTCCTTGATCCCTAGGATTGCAAATAACTCCAGAATACAGATTTATGCATTATAGTTTTGAAAATAGAAGTGACTTATCAATTCTTATATCGACATAAGTTTCACCAGCTTGTGATTTAATAGCATAGCTATTTAGTTTTTGCATTCTTTGATTCTGATGTACAAAACAAGAACTTGCACCTTATTTGTTTTTGTATATTAAAGAATTTTCATATTTTAGTTCATTTTTTAAACTAAACAATTCAAATTGTTAGTATATGAATGAAATATTACAATATCACATTTTTTTCATTCTAGGTTTCTTTGATGATTATTTGTTACACTTTGACATTTTTGCAGAGCTGATTAGATCTGTTAGGATGGAAACAAAGCACTTAGCATGTAAGTAAATGATGTGAGACAAACCTGCTGTATCACAAACATACTGCATTGCCAATCAGGTAAATTCCTAATTTTAACCATCATTTTGGGTCAACCTTTTTTTTCCCTTGCATATATCTGCAGCATGGATAAGAAGGCCTAGTTGGCATATTGTCAATTACTTTTGGTAACATGATTGCAGTAGAAGCAGGGAAGGTACATTATTATTTCTATCCAGGGCTTTTTTTGTCATAGAACGCCCAGAATGGAGTTCCGGCACCTTTTTTGGATGGAACCTTGTAGGGTAGGCAAGGTGGGTTGTATGACATGTGTGAGTTCCAGCACCTTTTTTTTTTTTTTAAGAAAAAAAGCACTGTTTCTATTATTATAAAATAACATCTTTACCATTAGTTGTCTTTCCCTTCTAGATAGATTAATTCCCACTTAAGAAATAAAATGGGTGGCAACCTGGCAACATTTCTATTTTTGCTGACTATCCATTAAACAGGCATGGAGAAAGAATTACAGTAAGATATTTTGTATGTCAGTCTACTTATAAATTCCTAATTTGAGACCCTCATAACTGCCACTTTGAGAAATATACCCCCTCATATACTCTATACACCAGCAATAGTTGGACAGGGCTTGAGGAACCAATCTTCAGATTGCCATGAAGTTGCTTGGATACCTTACATTGAATCAGTCTAACCTACTTAATAATCCTGTAAAAATAAAATGGTTGCAGCATGGAGAATTTAATCATATCATGTATTCTGTGCTGAGTTTCTAGAGGACTGACAGTATAAATGAAAGGAAGGAAAATTCCAATTTGGAAATTGTTTAGAAGTACTTCAAAAGGCAACAGATCATGGTAAGTTTTAGCAATTTGATTAGGTAAAACCCAAGCTAGCAACATATTTCACAAAAATGGGATGAACTATAAATGCACTTTTAAAGGAAATAAAATGGATCATAGTTTATTAGAGGAAAATAATCATGGAATCTTGAGCATCTGCATGATTTATGCAGTTGGGATTTAATGCATAAAAGGAAGTAAAATAACAGAATTTAGAATTGTGTTATGAAATAAAATTTCACAACATTTAATGAGCCCTGGAAAAGGAAAATAGAAGTTGTGGCTGCATAGTTTCCACGTTTGTTATAGAGATCATATGCATATTTGCATAAGTTTACACAGCATGTTCATCAAGAAAGACGTAGATGCTGTATTGAGATGTTTTGGACCTAAATAATTTTTTTACAGACAAATTGTGAGACAGTGATTATATCTGTACTGATAATGTCTAAAAGTACAAAATGGAACCGAGTTTCATCAGCCATTAGATGTGTTCTAATTATGACTGTAATGGTAGTATTACAATATAAAATATAGTTAAAATCTACTGTATTAGCATCTAATTTGGGGAATCAGAAGTTTCACTTGTCAAAAGAATCAGAATCAAATATTAAAACAGCTACTTATTCCCTGCCAAAGGGCAAAGGGAGCTAAGCCTATAAATATAACCAACAGGTATTAAAAACAATTTTATATAAAATCTGTAAAATTATAATGCATTGTGCTATACTTTAGAAAGCAGGCTTTAGATGGAATTTTTATTAGAAAATCTCATAAACTTATAGTGAAACAGGGAGATGAACCAACGTAGAAGGGACACTAAAGAATAAAAGGCAAGAGTAAATATTCCCTTTGAAGGACATAATACCTCAAAACTCATTGTGAAAAGAACATAGCAAAGCAAATAGTAGCAGAAGCTATGGTGTTTGTACATAGCCATTAGGTGTGCATTTTATTGTTATATCTGATTGTTATTATACAAAATATATACAGATGAAAATGCAAAGCTGATAGCAGAGCTTGTGCAGTGGAATTAGGCTGCTTGGTCCCACTATTGATTGTAATGACACAGGTAGAAGGAAGCAGCTAGTATGTGAGTAAGGAACAGTCAAAAGCATCATCAGTCTCCAACTTCCAGAACTGAATACAGCCCCACACATGTATTTAACATCTACTCAAAGCATACTGTAATATGGAGACATATTAAATCAATATGTCAGGATGAAAGATAGATTAGAGCAGACTTTTGCAAACTAACCCCTCCAGATGTGTTGAGCTATCAATCCTATCATCCCCATCTACTCTAGTGGACTGCTGATTGGCAGTGATAAGACTTGAACACATCTGGAAGGACCAAATTAGAAAAGAATTGTATATGTTTCAGAGTCAGTTTATGAACCAAATCAAGTTAATATGATGGGAAAAATAGCAAATGTAATGCCAAATGAGGACACATGACATCATGTTTTATAAAATAATTGGTTCATGTAATCATAATTTCTAAAGCAAATTGAAACTCTCACTTTACCCATAAACATGCATCTGCAGAAGTGATAGTAAATTCATAAATTGTGCCATCCATAATTGTGAAAGGAAGACAATCTGCATTCACTGAAATTTTATATGTAGCCTAAGACTCTATTTTCAAATGTAAAATACCCTTGCATGGAGAATTGCTTCCTCAAATGGGGATAGAAGCCCTTATTTTAATCCGATGGCAAAAGAGCTGTAGAGTTCATTGTGATCAGAAAACTGATATGGAGTTCGTTATTTGCTCCCAGGATAATTTCCCATAGATCTAAAATTGCATCTGAATTAAGAGAAAATAGAGGAACGAGTTCACCTGTATGTGCAACAAACTGTGATGATGTCAAAATGTTCATAATGGTGTCATCACATAAATGTTGCAAATATTTTATTTATTTATTTAATAGATTTATATAGCCACCCAGTTCACCCATAGCAACTCCAAGTGGCAATTTTGTACACTACTTAAGGTCTAATATCTGACACAAAGTGTGGCATTTACATTATGACATCACAATGCACATTTCTTCATTTCCCCTCTCTCCTTCTGTAAATGAGATATTGTGGTAAAATGTGGTACAGACTTGCAGGAGGGGTCTTTCCCAAGGAGCAAATCAGTCTGGAATCCTTGCTATGCAGGAAGAAGGCCAGAGCGGAACCTCTGTAACCTTTCATAGGGTATATTTAATAGTTATGCAGATTGTGCTTTAGTCGGGCAAGATTCCTGTCTATAGGCCAACAACAATAAAAGTACGCTGAATAAATCCTTGTGTTGTTCTTGGTTCCAAGGAATCAGTATTACAATTATATCTATGGAGTGGGAAAATATCGTCTGCTGATAGTGAAGGCAAGACTGTAATGGGTTGGATGGTAAATTGGGCTTTATAAGTATTGGCAATCTTACATTCTTTTGAATAAGAAATATATTCTAGTTAGGCAAAATAAAAATAAATTATTTTGATAATAGTATAAGAGAATGATACACAGCAGTCATATCTCTATCCATTTTGGCTGAGGAATTCCTCTAACACAAATATCAGAGGCTACTCCTCTGATTTTATCCCACTTATATTTATCAGCACCAATTTAAATATCTTGCCCCCATGTGGCATTTCTCCATATTAATCATGAAACATAAAGTATAGCTTTTCCCCATGCTGTTTGTGTTGAGCTTCCACATTTTTGTCCCTAGCAGTATGGAAAACTTAAGTATGACAGTAATATGCCGTGCATGTTAAATTGAATGGCCACTATATGGAACCAGCTAATTCTAATGACATCATATACCAGTGGTGGCGAACCTATGGCACCCGTGCCAGAGGTGGCACTCGGAGCCCTCTCTGTGGGCACACGCACCGTCGCCCCAGCCCGCCTCCTCCCATGGCCCCCTCCTCACCAGCAGCCCTCTGGAGGAGAGTTGCCCCTGGGCACGGCCCACACAATGCTGTGCAGCCAAGGACATGGTAGCTGGAAAGCGGGGACAGGACTCCGCCCTTGCACCCCATCGCATGCAGATAATGCTGCAGGGCACAGGCGGAGGGTGTGGCCACCATGACGCTGTTGAGTTGCCTGGATGATCTGTGGTGGGCCGTGGAGGTGGTGGGTGGTCCAGCAGGCACAGAGCGGGGATGGGTGGGGGGTGGTTTTGGGGCACTCAGTCTCTAAAAGGTTCACCATTGCTGTCATGTACCCATTATAGCACATATCTCTTTAGGCAACTCTTGTAAGGAAAAATTAGAGAATAATAAACAGGTATTAGTAAGGCAATACCAATTATTTTAGCTGACCTGAGTGGCCATTGGAGATGGTCAGGGAACTGAAGTGATTTTTTTCTTCTCCCCGCTATTTAGGGCCTGAGAATTAAAGAACATCATTTGAATCGACTTTCATCTGAGGTTAATCCAACAGAAGTATGGAAGGAGATTGCAGAAATGAAATATGGAAACTAGAAAAATACGCTAAGTAGAATAGTTTTTCTTATATCAAATAAAAGAGAAAATAACAAAATATTAAGAAAATGTTTCTTTGAAAAAAATTAAAACATCCTAATGGGTGATACTAAACTTTCTCCAGAAGCAGACTCCAGCGATCTTAATAATATACGTATGATGGCATAATGCGGGGGTCTTCAAACTTGGCCCTTTTATGGCTTGTGGACTTCAAACTCCTAGAATTCCTCAGCCAGGCACGCTGGCTGAGAAATCTGGGAGTTGAAGTCCACAAGTCATAAAAGGGCCAAGTTTGAAGACCCCTGGCATAATAGATTAGCAAAACGTAAAATAATCTCAAGGGGAAGAGCCATATGTGGCTACAGTGCACACGGCAGTCTGTTTGCATAGCTAATAAATCCTGAGCCAGCCAGTTCCATTTCTAGACTCAATCCAATATTTCCTGCACTTCTTTTGGAGTCCTGAAATATTTATTCTTCTTGCAATTCGTACAATAGAAGTCCTTGAAGCTTGCTTTGTGTGACAAGGTACCCTAATACATGTTAAGAGCTGGGAGAAAAACATCTGAAACTGAAAAAGAAATATCAGAAATTACCATGACTGATTATTAAGAGGAAATACCAGTGCAGACCGCCATTAAAAAAGAAATGTGGATTAAATTTAATATTTGTATATTAGAAAAACCATTTATTTCAGGGGATGAAAAGATGAAAAATAGCCATCTATTTATTAAATATTAACTGTTGCATACTTCTCAATCTAGTGCCTTTCATTTATTAAGATTGCAGCTTCTATAATATGGTTGTGCTGATTGGGAGTTCTTAAAAACTGCTGTAGTAATAATTCTGCAGGATTTCTTCAGATACAACATGTTTTTTCAGATGTATAATAGCCCAGTCAATTTGTGGGCATCATTTTGGGGAAAGGCTAGTATATAGTGATAACAATATACTTTGGTATTTTCTTGGTCTGTTATGATTCAGTTTTCCATCTGTTAGAATTTTCATGTTTGCTGCTTGTTTTCTTTTTTAATTTAAATATCAAAGCCTACCTATTTTCCTATTGCCTCCTATCTTGATTCAGTATAATATCTTCATTACTTTATTCCCTTGTGCTGGGCATTTTTCCTCCAGTTTATTCAGAATATCCCAAGTGGTCTCATCTCTTGCCATATTACATTTTCCCTTAAATTGACCTTTGTCAATATATTCAGTGTTAAGTTTCTCCTCTTTTCTCATATTTTTACTCCATATTGCTTCTCTTCCTTTTTCATGTAGTTTCCATGTTGTACTCCTGAGTTTACACAGCTGTTCTATTATCAGCACCCTTGTATTTATTTTCATTTTTACTTAAACCCTTTAAAAAAGGCTTCACTTTTTTTTCAAAGTGCTTTATAAATAACCTAAGTTTTGTCCACTTGTTCCTCTACTAATGATTTCCCTAGCACACCCCCTTTACTACATCCCTGCTGTGCCTATTCAACATGTCTGTTACGTTGCTGTTATGTTCTATATAGAACCTGGCATGCTCTGAAGTTGTTTGTTGTTTGTAATGCTTTGACAACTGAAGGGCCCATAGGCTGTTTATCATGGTAATGCTATAGTAACAAAATCATAAAAATAACCCTTTGCAAGTGCTAAGGGAAAGTTCCTTTACAGAAAAAGGAGATTGTTGGCACAGGAGAGGAACACCCAGGTGTATCTCACTCTATTTTCTCAATAGATTTTTTTTCTATTCCTCTCATGTGGGTTCCCCCTTCCATTCAACAGTACTTCTGCTTCTAATCTGTCTATACATATAATTCAAAGACAAGGCACAATGTTGAATTTTGCCTAATCCCACGAGTCCAGAGCCCTCACACATGGATATTACCATGGCATTAAGCATATTGCTATCCAAAACTTTTAGCTGATCCCTTTGTTTCTCATTTAAGGAAACTGGAGCTCTTGGTATTTCTGTAGAGTATCTAGCTGCAGAAAGTAATTAATAGTAATATCATAACATCATCATCTGGTGACACATCCAGTGAGGCTTCATAGAATTTTTTCTTAGAATAGAATATTGCTGGAAGGGACTTTGGAGGTCTTCTAGTCCAGCCCACTGCTCAAGCAGGAGAACCTATACCATTTCAGACAACTGTCTAATAGATTTAGATTCCATTCTGACCTAAACATTTCCATTAAGTAAATTTCCTTGTTTCTAATTCCGTTTGCACCTTATTTACTAAGTCAGGGAGCAATGAAAATCTTTGACCCAATTATTTGGTTAAGCACTTTTTCTCTGAATAGCAATCTGAACATAATTTGTAACTTATCTCCTGATTTCTAAAAAAAGGTTATAATTCTTTTGCACTTAAATCTGGAGTGATACAAAGTATCCGTGTGTGTGTGTGTGTATGTGTGTGTGTGTGTGTGTGTGTGTGTGCAAAAAAAGAATTTTCAAAGCAAAATACCATTCTTCTACAGTTTTCTCCAGAAAAGCTGAGTTCAGTTGTATGTAACAGCAGAACTGCAAGATATCTTAACATTGAAAAATATTGCCTCCGCTTGTTGGAAGCATTAGAATATTACTCCATGTGCTATGAGAACCTTGGTGCAAATCAGATGGACTCCCTTCCCTGAAGGTAAGAGTGCATTTACAAGAGTTTTTAACAATTGATGCTTACATTGCCATTTGAGGGTGTGAAAGCCCTAATGTGGGATCATGGGGTTGCTGTGATTTTGAGAAGTCTTAAGGAAAAGCACATTATACAGTGATAGATCAGTGCAGTTTTTTGAGGGAAGGCAATTCGTTTTGCAGTTAATTTCCCAGAATAAGAGCTTCTAGGACACGCTCCTTGCCTAGCCTTATTGAATCCAAACAAAGACTCCCATTTGATTACCCTTGTAGGGATTCCCCATCCCACCCCAGTTGGATCTTGAGTACATGAGGATTGTCTCCACAAAAATGGGCCTGCTTTGTCCATGCAGCCAAGGGAAGAGTGCCTCAGGATACACCAAACAGAGAAGCCCTGGTGTGCATATGACGGTCTTGGCTCCAGGTATGGTCAGCTAGATCACATTGTCAAAAAGCTTCATGGAACTCATGATGTTTTCATCCTGCCAGAGAAAAGATGGAATCGAGGCCTTAGAAAAAGTAAGAAATTAAGAAGGTATAGCTTTACTGTTACTAAAAATGTTGTTTCAGCACTCTTTCCTCACAACCTGCCTTGGGTGAAGGAGTATTTTCTAACTTCTTCACCTTATTCCCCCAATTGCACCACAATAATATTAATATAAATCCAGAGCTAGAAATGAAACATCACTACCTGATCTCACTGATGGTGGTGATAAAAAGTTCTCATCTATAGAACAAAGAATAGGACTGGCTACGCACTTTTTCCTTATTCACTGCTATAAAGGATTAAAATGCTAGGAGGACAGTGGTGTTACCTTCTGACAGGATTCAATGAATTCATCGATAGTCACCACACCATCTCTGTTCCGATCCATTTTCTGAAACGTAAATGAAAATTGATGAAGAAACAAAGTAGTTTGCTAGGAGACTTTCAAATGCAGAGAAATACCTTATAATATCTTAACACATTTCCAGCCTAGAGATAGCCGGTCTAGCAACATGTCTATGATCTGAAAAGCCCCACCAGTAGAAAATGGCTTTATATCTCATTATTTTGAAAATATTTAAGGCGGAAAAGCCTTGGCAATTTTAAGATTTCTGAACTTCAACTCCCAGAATTTCCCAACCAGCAAGGGAGTTGATCCACAAGTCTTAAAGTTACCAAGATTGGACACACCTGATTTAAGGAGACAGAAACAATCAAGTTGCTAAAAAAGTTCATGAACATAATTATAGGAATTATACTATGGGCAGGACTAAGACTGAAGGAACCAAAAGGAAAGGGAAAAGTAGGAAGAGGAAGGCTTTGTCCTCCCAAAAAGCAGACCAAAGTAATACATACTCTTGACCATGAAAAGGTTTTCACAGGTAAAGTGCAGGATACTGACATGGAAATATTCTGATACTAAGCTTACCTGGAAAAAATTTTCCACATGTTCCTGGGGTGCCTCTTCTCTCATGGCTGGATAAGTGTACTTGCCCATCATGTCATAAATGGATTTCATTATATCCAACATTTCCTGAAAGTCAAAACACTGAATTATTAGCCAAGATGACCAGCAGATTCTTACTGAAGCAGATTCAGTGAAGTTCTTCATCTTCTGGCCTTACTGATTTCTGTTACTGTCTGTACCTCTTTGGTGATACAGCCATCTTTGTTCAGATCATAGAGATTGAAGGCCCAACTGAGCCGATCATCTATAGTGCCACGGAGAATAATGGACAAACCAGCCACAAAATCCTGCAAGAGAGACAAGGTAATGAAGAAAGGATGAAATACAGTCTAAGCATTACTGCAGCTGTGATATGCTGCGGGAATGTAAAGTAGATTCAATGACCACATGCAGTTCTTGACTTACAACAGTTCATTTAGTGACTGTTCAAAGTTACAATGGCACTGAAAAAAGTGACTTTTGACAATTTTTCGCATTTATGACCTTTATCGTATCCTCATGGTCACAAGATCAAAATTCAGATGCTTGGCAACTGTCTCATATTTATGACAGTTGCAGGGTTCCAGGGTCATATGATTACCTTTTGTGACCTGCCAAGCAAAGTCAATGGGGAAGCCAGATTCACTTAACAACCATGTCACCAACTTAACAACTGCAATGATTCACTTAACAACTGTGGTAAGAAAGGTCGTAAAATGGGGCAAAACTCAATAAGAGTTTTGCTTTGCAGCAGAAACTGGTTGTTAGTTGAGAACTATCTGTATAGACTGATAGATTCTATCCATCCATTTATGGTAGAGAAGAACATTTGGATGAAGATACAACTGCTCAAGATTTAGTAGTTTAATACATATAACACAGGTATATGCAATTATTTTCAACCTCTCCTTTAATTAGACTTGCTGGAAATCTTTGGCATAGTTTTTGTCCTGTTTTTATATTGTCAGTGATAAACACCCCTTTTAAAATATGCATTCTGTCGTGTGTTAAACCCTGAGGAACATAAATACAGATCCTTTTTTAAAATAGATACTTTATTAAATTTTTATAGTTACATATCTTTAGTGCTTAATAAATAATGTGTTGTCTGGGTTCACATATTTAACATTGATAGTAATACAACTTCCATTTCTACTCTCTATTCCGCTTTTCTAGCCGTTCATAAAAATTATTCCATGTTTGAAAATATTCTGTATCTTCTTTCATTTTCAATGTAAGCCTAACCATTTCTGCAGAATCCAAAATTTTCCTAATTATATCTTCTTCTGATGTTTCTTCGTTTTTCCATTTACTATGCAAATGTAATTCTCATTGCTATTAATACATATAATATTAAGTATATACATTTTTGTCATTGTTCTCTGAAATAGTTCTAGCATAAAATTTACATATTTTCTTAATATTTTCTGTAACCACGTGTATTTTGATCAAACTTTTTTTGCTTTAGGGCATGTCCACCAAAGGTAATAGTACATACCTGGCTTTTGGCTACATTTCCAACAGTTACTAGATAGATACAGATTCTGATTGTACCAGCAGATGGCCTATTACTCAGTGATTAGTTGAATGGCAAGGTTCAAAATTAGAATATAGAACTGTGTTCCTTTAAAAAAAATTCTAACTGTAGACATGGTATTCATCTGAACACAACATTCTTGGAAGGCAAAGTGACTTCCATCAGCACAATTCTATTGTAGCCCATCTTTTTGGAGTGAGGTTAAAGGAGGTTAACTGCTTTTTTGCAAAGTTGTGTTATTTATGCTTTAATTTGTCTATAAGAGTCCCGAGTATAACTGCTAAGATAAATAAAATTTCTTCAAAAATACTAATTACTCTGCAGAAGGCATTTATCCCTAGGCATCATTTCTACCTGCCCCTGTCAGTTAAGAAGTGTCATCTTGCAGGACCCAGGAAATGAGCCTTTTTTATTATAATACATCCCCTTTGGAACATCATTCCTTAGAAGATTAGACCCAACTCTGCTGGATTTTGTCAAGGCCTTGAAGAAGTGGTTCTGTTCCCAGCTGTTGGCTGCCCAAGGTCGCCATGGTGAGATGCGCAGCCATAGAAAGATACACACATACACACACACACACACACACACACACACAATAAATAAGAGTTGATACAGTTAGTTTTAGTTTTGTGTTATAGGGGCTCACATATAAATAAATAAGTACATGGAATCTTACCTCAAAACTGACAGAGCCATCGTGGTCAGTATCAAATGCGTTGAAAAGAAAAGTTGCATATGTACTAGAATCTAAAAACAGATACATCAAACCTAGTAACAACTATCATGTATATATATTTTAGCGGATTTTATTGAATCATTTGATTGTCAGGAAACTTAGAAAAAATAGCTAAGCTGAAACTTTTTTGAAATTGTAAATACCATAACTTGATGACCTCTCACTCTTAGATGCAAAAGATGTAGTTATTTCAACATTTACCCTCCTCTTTTGTATACACAAGAGAATGTATTAATAGAAGTACATATCAAATTAAGAATAGTTTTAGCAACAAGTGAGCAACAGTGTAAAAATATTATTAAGACTATATCAGCAACCAATGTAGCATCCTGTTATTTCACTTTCTGTGAAACTAATTGAGAGAGCCATGCAATATAATGTACTATCTTTTACATGCCAGAAAGGACACCTACAGAAAAAGTATGAAGGCCGCAACTAAAAGTCTCCCAAAGTGGAGGCTGAACATTTTATCACTATTCTGATCATGCTGGTGATACTCCATTATAACTGAGAATACAATATTCCAAGAATAATTACGCACCTTAAGCCCCTTATTTTTCAAATATGAATCAATAGTTATGCCAGGTTAGAACTGGCATAATAAATTTCTTTTAATTAAAGGAAAGTTAGAAGAAGGAAATAACACATCCAGCTATGGCAAAACTTTAGGATTTGAGGATAACATAACAAGTATCACTTTTACAGAATTGTTCTGTAATACATAATCATGAAGTTGGTTTCAAAACAAAGCCTAGTTATTTGTAGGATCACCTGACTTTAACCATTTCTGCCCATCCCATCCACTTTCACATGTTGGGCAAGCTCCATATCCTCTTCCTGAGGCAATGTTGTCTATTGGGATCTGTTCTGTGGCAGATCCCTTGAAACGATCTCATCCCTCTGAGTTTAAAATGACCCAAAGACTGTCAGCCTCCCAAAAAGCTTTGAAAACCTGCTTTCTGTCCCAGTTATTGGGTCAGGATGATGAATAAATCTGTCTTCTGGAGCTGGTTGCTACTAACTTGATGTTATCCAATACATTGTTTATAGATAACATACAATTCTGTATGGTTTCTTACCTGTACTTGTTTGGTTGGTTGGTTTATATTTAATATGCACTATCCAAAGTCAAGATTATGTGAGTTGAATAACTATGTATATCTTTTAAATAAGGAAAATATCCATTTAACATCAGGCAAAGAAAGTGGCCATATTTAAAAGTGCCACAGTTGACAAAATCACTATTCCTTTATGTATGATCCCATGAACAGTGTTCACATTTTTTTATTTTATCCTGTGAGGGAGGCAGAGGATTATTCAAGGGATATATGTTTGGCAATGAAGGTAAGGAAACTATAACTGAGGATATAAAGTCTCTCATCTTTTATTTCCAACAACTGCCAGCTTACTCTTCTTACCTAGCTTTACAACATTTCCAAAGTATTAGCTCTTCTAATGAAGGACTTACCTCCCTGTGGGAAGAATTGTGAGTAGATCTGCTTGAAGCTCTCTTCATTAACAATCCCACTAGGGCATTCCTATCAAATAGAAAAGTGTACATTGTTCACTAGTTGGAATTGCTAATCTACAATATCCCAGGTGCAGCAAGCAGTGTAATCTATGAGAAACTGATTTTAGTTTCCCCATCAAACAATAACAGAAAGAGGAATTCTCTCCTTTTGAAGAACTTGGATATTAGTTATCTCCTAGGACAGGGGTAGGCAACCTTGGCTCTTTTATGACTCGTGGACTTCAACTCCCAGCCAAGCTGGCTCAGGAATTCTGGGAGTTGAAGTCCACGAGTCATAAAAGAGCCAAGGTTGCCTACCCCTGACCTAGGATGTTGGCAGTGAACAAATGGGAAGGTTAAACTAGGGGCAACAAGTGTAGCAACCAGCCTTAGCATTGGCAATGAAATTATTAAAGTGGTGGATAGCTGCTATCTTTCAGGATAAACTATAAACAACAAAGGACCCAGCAGTCAAGAAATATGCTGCAGACTAGCATTTGGTAGGATAGATAGGATGAAGATTTGAAATTTTTTTATTTCTTTGTTTTTTGGTGTCTTTGAGTCAGTGTTGACTTCTGGTGACTATCTGGACAAATCCTTGCAGTTTTCTTGGCCAGAGTCAGAATTTTGCCATTGCATTCTTCTTCGGTTGGGGAGAAGATAACTGGCTCAAAGTCACCCAACTAGCTTCGTGCCTAAAGTGGGATTAAAACTCACAGTCTGCCAGTTTTTAGCCTGATGCTTCAATCACTATAGCAAACTGGCTCTCAAACTTGGTAGGATTGCAATGAAGACTTGAAAAAAGTATTTAGATGTTGTGACATGTTTATACCTGCAAAATTCAGAATTGTGTGGAAAAAGGTTTTCCCTGCGACACTCTATGAAAGCAAAAGTTGGACGTTGAAGAGGTAGGAAAGAAAGAATATAGATGGTTTTGGAGTTGCAGAAAATAAGAAAAGAAGAATATTGAATTACATGGAACTAAATGGTGTAACTGCAGCTTAATGTGAAAAATAATACAAAAATAGTACAAAGTCATCTGTATAACAATTATTCTTTGCTGTTTTATAATGTCTTTAAGCAACTTAATGTGATAAATATACAGCAGGCTTCATTTTTTTTTCTTTTATACTGCTATGTATCATGTTGACTAAAATCAAAAGGGAGGTTTATGCCTCCTCCTTCAGCTGTAAAATTCACCCTTCATGTTCTGAAAAATATCTAAACTAAATTGGCAACAATGGAGGGTGGATTTTTATCTTGCTTTAAACTGAAGAGAGAAAAGGAAATGTTGCAGATATAAAATTAATCCTTCTGCACTTACATACTGTGATCTTCTTCAGGTCTCCAAATAATGAAGATAATGGGAGGATAAAGTAAAACTTGAAGAGTAGCTGAATGCAGTTTGACCTTCAGAAAGAGGGGGAGATATATTTGTTGGGAGTCCCAATAAAGACAGAAGATAGTACAGAGGTCAATTCTGAAGAGAAAACTGCTACCAGAATGTGGTATTAAGTTAGATAATCAGATAAAATATCTTACTGCAAAAACAGGATTGCAGAATTGTTCCAAGTTTTTAGAATATAAATAAGCAATTACCAATGGTATAATAACATGGTATATAGTAAATAAATAATTATGGTTGTTCATTTAAAAAAGAAGAAACTCAAGAGAGGAAGGAAAGAATGCAAAGAAGGAAATGCCAGGTAGAAAGGGGAGAATCTTTTCAACTCACATTCTTGAAGCCTCGGTATAAGACTTGTAGTTCTTTGCGGCTAAACTTAGTTTGTTCCTGTAGTTGTTCCAGACCCTCAGGCCGATGACAAACGGTGGAGAGCTCAAGCTCATCCTCTACGCTGTCTGTTGGAAAAAGAAGAACCTCAGAAGTATAGTAAGACACAACCTCAGTCTCCTCCTCCCTTCCCTCACTCCATCTTCTTTCCTCTTGAAGATACTGATTTTTTTCCCAATCCTCAGATTGACACAAAAGGGCTCATTATATTTGACTGAACATAAGAATAAATGCCTCTTTTTAATTTTCTGGTAAAAGAACCTATTTTAAATATGTATGCATGCTACAGAACTTCTGAAGATACAGCCTTAAAATAGAGGCAAATTCAGAGCCCCAGTGATCACACCATAGGTTAGAGGAGGAGTTGACTACTAGTCTATTCATAATAGAGCTCTATCAACCAAGTTCCTCTGTTTGTTATGCTTAAAAGGAATCAAAATGAGAAAAATAAATTTCAGGACAGGTTTAGATGGGAACTGGAGGCTATAGCTTACCCTATCATCCATGAGCACAAGAAATGAATAATATATGCTTGCCACTTCCCTGTACAATAATAACTTCGAGGATTTACATTCCATTACATGAGAAAACACATGAAAAACGTGGAATGTTGTTAGACAACCTAAGGCATATAAATCTACAAACACGTGGGAGAAATATTTACAGTAGGCAGCAAAGCTACAAATATGCTCTGGATACTCAAAGAGCTATCCAAAGCATATTCATTATCCAACTCTGCCCTAAGGCCATACTCAACAGTTTCTTAGTGATTTAATGCAAACAAACAAACAAAATGAAATGTCTTTTAAGACAGAGCGTAGAAAGTTTCAGGCATTAAAAAACACTGCCTTTTTGTTAAATTGCTGATAGATCATTTATTAGTTGCAAGGCAAGTAAAACCATAAACTAATTCACAAAAGCCAAGAGAATAAATGTTAGAGGTGCAACACACAAGCATTACTACATATGTCTCTCTCCGCCAGTTTTCTAGACTCAAACACAAATATGTAAAAAGAAATCTGAAGCTGTGGAACTCTAATCCTGATCCTTTAGTCACTATGTGTATTGACATTAGTAAATCACAGATTCTCAAGGGTATTTAGTAAATCACAGCAATGAACTCAATAAGCTATTGAGAATTGCAAAAGAACCCTTGTATTCTCATTTTAAGACAATCTTCAGTACATTGCTTGAAGTATATATTGAAGGGAAGTGTGTGAGTGCAGATAAATACATATACAATAGATATATTGCAAAGGTCCCTAATGAATTTATTTTTCCTAGGGGCTAGGATAAAAACGTATCTCAAAATCAAAAAAGAGTGGAAAGAAAAACAGTTTATTTCTTATCATTTGGACTATTTAAACTTTGCACAGATCACTAAAACATCCTGAAAAAATAAGCCAGGCTTTGGCAATAGCATACAACTATTATTACCAGTAATGAGTTGAACAATCTGAATGTGGACGTTAAGCACATTCTTAACTTGTATCTGGCATGATGTTAATAAATACAGAACAAACCTGTCCACAAAGCTTGGTTTACAAAAGGAAAAGGAAAAGATCCATCTCTCAACAAGAGTTAGCCAGTACTTTAGGATTAAATACACAAACTTGATGCCCATAATGGTTCTGCACACTGTAGTAAGCACTTACAGAAGGTAACAAAGACCCAATTCCACCACAAAGCAATGGTACAATATTAGTAGCTCAAATCAGAAAATCTGCCTTGAATATCCATTTTGTATCTGAGGTATTACTAACACGTAATTATTATTACAATATACATTTGATCTAAAATTTGTTTTAAGAAAAGAACTATCTAAGGATTTTATATAAATTCTGTACAGAGGGAATCCTTCCCCCCCCCCTTCCTGGATATTATAATGTCACAACACAGAGAAAATAAAGAGGCACAAAGTATCACTTGCTTTCGCTGATTGAGGGGATGGATTTAGGCTGGTGGCAGCAGGGGAGCAGCTTGAGGAACCGCTGCTTCAAGGCTTTTTTAGCATGACCAGATGGATTGCCTGCAAGAAAATGACAAGCGCCACAAGGAATTAACACATCATGGCGTCTTTTATCTAACCCAATCATACTCTCTCAGTCTCAGTCATAATAAGCATGGAATAAATCAAAGAAGACAAACATGCATAACCTCAGTGCTGCGCAAAAAAAAAAAAAAAGTCCAACTTGGTTACAGCACAAAACTCTCCTAAAACAAATAATCATTCCTCTCAATCAAAGTGGATTGTAGGAAATAAGTAAAAAGATAAAAAAAGGAAAAGAGCACAGATGTTTATGTATCCTCTTTTTCCACCAGCAGCATTTAGAAGCCACAATTTAACAGTCTCAAATCCACCTACTGAGCATGCAGTGACATCATGAAAAAACTTCATATCTGGGCACCCCAAGTGTAATACACACTGGCAGATTTTGTGGAATCAAGGAATTGATACTTGGAAACATACTATTACCCCCCCCCCCGCACAATTGCTAGATAATTAATAAAATTAATAGTATAGTTGAATCCTGCCACATTCTCAGCTCAGGCATGAAAATTAAACAATCGCAAGATGACTTCGTTTATTTCTTCCCGCCATTTGTAGTTTTGTACATTAAGGAGGCACAAAACTACATTTGTGACCATATTGATGCAGGTCTTAGTTTTAAAATGTAATTCTAAATTTGAGAACACTAAAAGGCAATTAGTTATATATGCATAAGTCTGGAGCAGGTGTAAAAAGATTTAAAACAAAAATTAGAAAGCAACATAGTTAATTCATTTGAGCAAAAGCACTGAGAATGCAGCAACTGATCATGCATTTCAAAAGAACAAGTGGTATAGGAAACCACGTACACTATATTTCATTTATTTTTGCTGTCCTGGCTTTCATTAGTTCATTACTCTCTTGGCAGCTACTTCGAACCACAGATAATAATTGCAGTTGAAATAATAACTTTAAAAACTAGTCACTCTCTTTCTCTCACACACACATTTTTTGTCCTTGTTCAGATCTAATGTACATGTTAAACTAGTTGATTTCTACCATGATATTAACTAGGAAGAGATAGATGATTCCTACACAGAATATGTACATCATTTGTCACCTTTTTATAAGCACACACCTGGAAACCTTAGCTGCATTTGCAGCAGTTGACCACACAGCTTTATGATCAAATTGCCCAGAAAATAACCTCTAAACGGGTAATAAATAATAAATCAGCCCAGAAGCAAATATAGCTTCATTCTGATCTGCAATGTCTAGATAAAAAGTACTGCATAAGAATCTGTCAGTTTCATTTTCCATGTTTAGAGTTCCTGTAAGTTGTTTAATAACTTACGTAGGGACATCGTAAAGAGTATCAAGCATGACTTTGGCAAGCCATGGTTTTTTTTTTATTATTATTTTTTGCTAGTATATCTTAAATTTTCAGAAATGGCTACAAGAGCTACATTCTCCCTTTGCTGTCTTGAACAGAAGTCCACCATGTGTCTTTATTTGTCCATATCTTGGCCTTTTTAATCCTGGACTGTAAAAATATTTTCACCCCATTTCTAAGCAGTAACCTGAATAGCAGAAGCTTCCTACTTCGGCCTGTTCTTTCATGCCAGTTTTTCCCATCACTGATCCTTTGTTTAGTCTCCTGTAATGCTCCCCAAATGTTAGCTCTGGTGACTGGACCTTTGGATCTTTTTCAATTTTGAAAAGTGTGTGTGCATGTGTGTGTGGGGGTATTATTCCTTTCTGATACATGCTACTATATCCTATTATAGATTGCTTGCTTCATGGCATAGACTTTAAACTCTCAGCTAACCTGAACTCTGTAGTCACCTTCTTAGAAAGTAATCATATGAAAAAATATTATCAATGGGATCATATGAAAAAATAATCACCAGCTTAAAGGAAGCTGGGATGCCAAATGAAGAATTTACTATAAAATTTCAAAAAGAACACAGCTACATAAGTATCTACATCCCGAGTCATAATCATACCACCTTCAATGAACATAATGAAAAGAATTTCCTTCCTAAGGAGAATGCTTTACAAGAACACTGTAGTACAGCAGTTAAAGTGTGAACTAGCACCAAGGAGACTCAGATTCAAGGCCATCCTTAGCTACGGAAACTCACAGGATGATTTTCAGCCAGTCCTCCTTTCTTAGCTTAAGCTATTTCAAAAGCTTAAGCTATCTCAAATGCTATTATGGGAATAAAATGAAGGGAAATTCCCAGGTAAACTGCATAAAGCTCTGGGGGGAAATGGATATAATTCTAACTAATTAATAATATACTGCCTACTGAACAATTATTATAGTCCCTCTAAGGTCAGCCATTACAAATATAATTTACCTCAGAAAATATGTTCAAAGAATAGAGTGAATTGACTTATTATTATATTTTTCATATTAAAATCAACTTCTGAAAGCTCACTTAAGAATCAATCAGTGGAACAACCTGTCTCCAGAAGCTGTGAATGCTCCAACACTGTAAGTTTTTAAGAAGAGACTGGACAGCCATTGTCTGAAATGGTATAGGGTTTCCTGCCTGAGCAGGGGATTGGACTAGATGACCTCCAAGGTACCTTCCAACATTATTATTATTATTATTCCTCTATTAAGGTGTTTCAGCACTACAAATGGATGTGTTGGCATATTTGTTGCAAAGAAAGACACATTTTTGGGTTTGGGGAATGGTGGGAGGACACAGAACAAATAATATGCATTGTTATCATATACAGAGGGGCATAACATGGCAACCAATGCAACCCTCCTTTTTTCTGCGAAAACAATGCAAACATTTGAATCAAATTATAAACTCTTACAATGTATCCAAAGTCATCCACCTAAAAAAACCCACTGCACAGACATGCATTTATATATATACAATGCAGGAAAAATGTTTGCTTCCATCTCATCTCATTTGGATAAAGAAAAATAAACTCAAGTCCTTTTTCAACAGACAGTTTTTAATATATATATATATATATATATATATATATATATATATATATATATATATATATATATATATATATTATATATTAAAAACTGTCTGTTGAAAAAGGACTTGAGTTTATTTTTCTTTATCCAAATGAGATGAGATGGAAGCAAACATTTTTCCTGCATTGTGGGGTTTGTTTGTTTGTTTGTTTACAGATCTTATACAACCACGGTATCTCATACAATGACTCTGGGTGGCTCATTACAATCTATAAAACTTAATTAAAAACCCTTCCCCTAGGTTTTACTTCTTACATTTAACCTCCAGGTCAACCAGTTCTTTATTTATGCATCCAATATGCACAATATGTTATTTAAAATCAGTGAAAGGAAAATAATTGAAGGGAGAAAGTGTAATGACTGAAACAGAATAAAACTATTCTGTAACAAGACACTAGCTTTGTTGCAGGTCCCAGGAAATAAGCCTGGTTTGGAGTTTTGTCCTGTTATCTAGGAATGGGAACCTGATGGACCTGAGGAAGTCTAGAGGGTTCTCACGACTGTAAGGTTGGTCATCTGTTAGATCCATGTCCCTCTTGACCAGTGTTTCCCAAACTTGACAATTTTAAGGCATGAGGACTTCAACTCCCAGAATTCCACAGCCAGCAACGCTGGCTGTGGAATTCTGGGAGTTGAAGTCCTCATGCCTTAAAATTGTCAAGTTTGGGAAACACTGCTCTTGACTAATTAAAGCTGCCCAGGGAGTGTCATGTGAGTTGGTTCTGGTGGTGGTGAGTTCTTCCTTGGGTGAGAGGATTGTTCCTTCATCTCTTAAGGAGGCCCTTCTTCCATCCTCAAGAAATCTTCACATATATTATTATATGTGGGTTTTCTTTGCCATATTTCTTTCACATCTTTGTTAGAATACTTTTTGTGTATCTACATCTCTATCGCTATTATTCTTATGTTTTACTCCTTTTTATATAGTGTAAATATATAAATAATAAGAAAAGAGCCATCACTTTACCTCATATCTAACCTCCCCTTTTTAGGTAAGGTGCTGGAGGTGGTCATGCAACAGGACCCCGAATGATGTGGATTATATGGAACCCTTTCAGTGAGGATTCAGGCCTGAATATGAGAGGTTATACTTTTAGATGATCTCTGCAGGAGCAGTACGGTAGTTGTGCACCCATCTTGGCTCTGTTTATCTCTCAGCGGCCTTTAATACCATTGCCATAGTTAACATCTGGATCAGCTCTAAGGCTTAGGGATGGAGATACTGTATTATGCTGGTTTTCCTCCTTTCTCCATGGTCAATACCTGTCAGTGGTGATTGGAGATATCCTGCTCTTGACTCCTACTGTGTGAGGTGCTGTAGAGTTCAGTGCTCTCTCCATTCCTATTTATATTTACAGGAAGCCACTGGATAAGCTCATGCATCATCATGGAATGAGGTATCATCATTACACTGATGATACTCAGTTATACATCTCTGGCCCTGGCAAACTGAGAAACTCTGTTGGTGTCATATCCTGATGCCTGGGGATGCCAGGAGTCTGGATGAGGCACAAAAGACTTCACTGGAGCCCTGGCAAGATAGAATGGCTGTGGGTTTGGGGCCTGCCAATTTGGGTTCTATATCATCTTTCATCCTGAGTAGAGTTGCACTGCCCAAAACAGACCCAGTATGCAATCTGGGGGTCTGCTTAGAGATCATCCTGAATTCATGACTCCTGTTTGAAGAACAGGTGACAGTCATGACTAGGAGGGCCTTTGCATAACTTCATGTTGTGCCCCAGTTGCACCCATGTCTGGATTGGGAGGCTTTGCTTATGGTCACGTATGCTCTGGTCAACTCCTGCATAGACTACTGTAGTGCATTCTACAAGGGGATGCCTTTGAAGAATATTTTGAAGCTTTAGCTGGTACAGAATGCTATGATGCAGGCAGTTACATGTAGCCCTAGAACGGCATTTGTTATACCTCTGCTCTGTGAGCTGTAGTAGTATCCAGTTTGCTTCTGGCTCCAATTCAAGGTGCTACTTTTAACTTCTAAAGCCTTTCATGTTGTTAGGTTAGATTATTTGAGGGACCACTCTTCCTGATTACATCTGCCAAGCCCATCAAATCTAGCAGAAGCATATTGCAGGTCCTTGTCATTTAGGGAGTAATATTTGATGGAACTCAGGAGATGAGCGTTTTCTATCATGGTACCTGCTTTGTGGTACCTTAAACTCTAGTATCCAAACTGCTGGTAATTTTCATTCAGACATATTGAATGGGAGGTATGGCCTTATGGGTTACTCAGTTGATTCATATTGTGACATCCAAGCAATTGATTATAATTTATTGACACTAAATTTAGCACCTATTTTTAATGCCAGATGAAGACACTGTGATTCTCAAATGCTTTAAATTGTTTTTCATTATGTGTTATATTGCTATTTTATTGTTTCTGTCATTGTCCCTTATTTTGATATTAAGTACTTATATTTTAAATATATTTTTGAAATGACAGACCATTCTGATGAATATAAATGAACGTGTTAAAATACATAAAGCATATGAATAAAATATTAGAGAAAAAGAAAGGAAGATTGCTGGAACAGAACATGTTAAGTTACTCCAGTTTTTCTGCAGCAGTTATAAGTCCCTTATGCCTCCACTTGTGATTTCAATCCTGAAAATATAAACTAATGATAGTGCTTTATCCCATTCTTACCTAAATGAGAATTCATGCCTCTTGCTGTCTATGTTACAATTGTATTTCATTTTTTTCTGTACTAACTTTTATTCTAGTGACAGGTTTCTTCTGTTTCACATTACTTATGGCTGGTGAAAAGCATTATGCCTCTATATTTTTATACTGCTGGAAAGGGCAAAAAAGTATAATATTATTTTAAATCTTAAATAAATATTATATCACTAACATCGGTCAGTATCCTTACAAAGCATCTAATACTGCTATAAGGATCAGCTTATACAGAGGTTAGGTGGCACCAAGTGGATCCCCAAAAGAACCCCTTGCAAAACTGTTCATCTCATGGCAGGTGATAGGTAAAGAAGACAAACATATTGGTGAGAAGCTAATAAGAGTAAAATAAACTGAAATCTTAGAGTAAGCAAATGAGAACAAACCTGGAATGTGTATAGTTTTTGTTATCTCATGTAAATTTCTCATCATTGCTTTTGGCTCTTTGCAACTGGGCTTGGCAGGTTTTTGATATGGCTAAAAATTCCTTTTTAAGGTAAATACGATAGAGAATTCTCAGTAATTATATGCTACATTTGCAAAACATGATGAGAAAGGTATTTTTTAATATATTTTGGTTCATTTTCCATGAAAATAAATTCCACAGAAGAGGCATAGAACAAATAGGAAGTATCAAAACAGCTAAAGGCATGCCACTCTAATGTTTCTGATAAATATGTGCTTTTCTTTTAAAGAGAAGCTTAGTCCACACTAAAATTTACTAAATTTATAATTTGGATTTTATCACAGGCATTACAAGAGGAAACCACTGTGGATCAAGTTATTCTCAGAAGCTCCATAGTGCCTAATATTATCAATGTTTATGTTGAACATGAACCCAAACAAGAAAGCAGCATTTAAAAAATAAGGCAGGTCCTGGAAGCGCCTCTTCTGATCTCTCCAGCGAGTGGTTGGCATATGCTGGGGTTCCCATTCTGCACCCAAGAAGTTTTAGAAGTTGCTGGGAAGTTTAAAGAAGCACTAATCTACATCTTTTTGCGGTGGTGGTGGAGAGATCATCCCCTGATTAGTAGTAGCTTCTTACCACCTTAATTCACATTTTTATTCCACAGCTGGCTCTCTAATTGTGCCCTTCTTCCTAGTGCACAGAATCACGCTTGTCAATTTCAGTCAGGACTTTTGTTTAGTATCCACTGCAGACTTATGCACAAGCTTCTTGTAGTTGGACTTTTATCTCTTCTTTCCTCCCTGCAAGCTCTGTCACATCCTCACTTAGGCACACACTTACTCTGTTTCCTGCCAATTGTTCTTCTGAATTATTGATGCCAGCATTTTAAGAGCCACAATCAATAACACCAGATTTTCAATCTGCCCTATAGTCCCTCTCTCTTTCTATTAATATGTCCAGGTTTTGGACCACCAATGAGTTAGCCAGTTTGAAGCTTGTGGATAGTAGCAAAGATGGTAATGTCCTTCAAAACAATGGGTTCTAAGGACAGCACTCCAGACACCATTAATCCCTGGCATTGCCTGGCATGGTTTGTGGTGGAGCTTTCCTAAACTATTAAAGCACAACATTTTGTATCCATTTACAAAAAGCTTTTATCAGAAGTTGTTTAAACTTGGTGTTTTTGTGTGATTAGCTTACACTCACAGCTTGCCTATTGAAAAACTCCCAGTAGTCCTCAGCTTACGACCAGTCACTTAATAGCCATTTAAAGTTATGACAGACTTCCCCAAAGCTACTTACAACCTATTTTCAAGTTTACTTTTAGTTTCTTGCAAAAAACACACATTGAGGAAAATTGATTCATTTAACAACCATGGCATTCACTTAATGACTATGCCAATCGCTTAATGACCATCAAACAAATGTCAAAAAATTAGGTCCAGTCAAGGGATTTCTCAGCTTACAACTTCAACAACCTACGACTGTAATTCCACACTCAATTACGGCCATAAATCAAGGATTACCTGTATAGCTTTTCAGTAGCTATTATAAGCGATGACTATTTAACAAGCTAAACTTCCTTTTAGTAATTTCATTTTAAACCTTCATCTCCATCCAATGTCAAAAAATGCAGTGAGAATATTTCTTGCTCAATAATCTGGCAATGACAGTTGTACTATTTTCTCTGTGTATTAATAGATTGGTAGAGAAAAGAAAGACATTGGGAAGATCTGGAAAAAGATTTTTGCTGCATCATAATAAAGTGATTACAGTAAAGATAAAGGATTATGGTGTATTTTTTCCCAGAGTAGTGCCCTTCAGATGAAATACAATTTCTATTATCTTCTGATAGTATGATTATATCATGTCAGCATTATGGACTACACTATATAAAGTTTTCAACATCTATTTAAAATAATGAATAGAAAGAAATCAGACATCAGAAATGATAATTTCAAAAAAATCAATGAGGGACATTTCACCAGCCAGAGCACCTCATTGCTGACCTCAGAGTAGTAATTCTTTGGAGGGAAAACACCGTAAGATACATTATGTAGCTGAACTTATTTTATTAAGGAGTTTATTATTTCTTAATCACCTTAATCTTTATCACTGTTGCTTACCATCATGCATATGTTAATTAACTGATTCAAGACTATATATCAGTGCTTCTCAACCATGGCAACTTTACAATGTGCTGACTTCAACTCCCAGAATTCCTCAGTGTTGCTGGCTAGAGAATTCTGGGAGTTGAAGTCCGCACATCGTACAGTTGCCAAGGTTGAGAAACACTGGTCTATATCATGTTGAACAATTGTTTTGTGAATGACAACTATCAATAGATAAATCATTGATTTTCTGTTCTTATTTTATTTTCCTATATTTTTTTCCTTTTACTCCCCTCTTCTCCATCAGTTTATCTCTTGGGAGCCATGAAAACTTATACTATATTAAATGTATCAGTTCTCAAGGTGCTTTAAGATGCAACAGATTAACACAAAAAACTCTCTGGAAACTTGTAGACTATGAAGATCGGGTTTTTTCCTTCTTTTTTTTTTTTTTTTTGCTTGCTGCATCAATAGTCTCCTGATTCAGCAACTCTCACCCACCTCATTTTGTCCCTTTTTCTGTTGGGCAGCAGCCAGAAAAAAAATAAAAAAACAGCACACTCTTTGGCATAACCACAGATATAGGGTGATTGATTGTGGTGGGCTGATGGAGGGATTCTATCCATTAAAGTTGTAACCCATTAGAGGGTTTCATTTCACCAGGGAGCATGATACAGCAATGCTTGGGAATACTCTCATGGTCAAATATAACACGGGGAGAGAGGTAGAGACAGTCTTGAGTGCCAGGGACATGAGAATCAGTTTGGGCACAGTTGTAGGGACTGACCTACATGAATGTTCCCTAAGCCGCCCCAATAATGTGCTTCCTTGTTGGGAAGAAGGAAGTCCATATATGATATAGAAATCTGGAGCCTCAATATATATATTAAATAAAACACACACAAAAAAATCAGAAAGGGTCTTGACTGGCACTTCTCCTTCCTCAAAAAGTCTTCTGGGGAAATAAAAGTGCTGCAGTTTCGTTCTAGCTCTGGTAAGAAGAGAATCAACAGAATTCACCAACTAGGGATTCAGTCTCTCAAATAAATTTATCAGGCTATTGTTTACCAAGGAAAAATAATGCAGAAGAAAGCAATTCTGCCAAGCTTAGGAGTGAATATTGCTTTGATCTCTCCTAATACAGTGATATTGTAGGCTATATTTATGGCATCATAAATAGTATCTCAAGCTGTATTCGGCAGGACTAACACAAGATATATGTATGATTCCATACATAGGAGCCAACCTGACTAGCAGCTGGAATTTGTTTCACCATGGATGCTTATTTCAAGCACTCTATAAAACACCTGATTAAACTGGGTAACACAACCCTGTCACACCACCATCCTTCCCCTACCTGCCCAGCAGAGCATTTGAAACATGAGGAGACATTATTCTGTCTAATGACAGACAGAATCATATAATTCAAGGAAGTCATGTAGATCATCAGATCCAGCCCCCAGCTCAATTTATAGGGATCCAGATTAAAATTGTCTAATTAATTAATTAATCTACCCTTAATTATATGGGTAATTAATTTCTAGTGAAGGAAAGCAGACCACTTCTCAGGACAATTGATTCCAGCATCTAACTTGTCTTAGGAATCTTTTCTTAACACTGAAACTATTTTTTCCTTCCTACAGACTATTAGTCTGAATCTTGCATATTCTATCTTGATTTATTTTATTTTATTTTTTCATAAAATTTATATAGCTGCCCATCTCACTGAAGCAACATGTGGCAGTACACAAAAAATATGCAAACTACATATAAAAATAACCACAGAAAAAAATATAAAAAATTTATAAAAATATAAAAATCACATTAGCAGTAAGTATTATAAATCAGAGAAGTGGAGAATGGATTCTGACCCCCTCTTCTATAGCACTATGTTTAATTTATTATCTCCAGTCTTTTCTTCTCAATACTACCCATTTCACTCAGCATCTTATCACTGAATTTAGTTTTCTGCCCTGTTGCCTTTGTCTGAACCTTCTTAACATAAATAACTAGAAGTAAAGATAGTACCTGAGGTACAGTCTAGCTAAGGCAGCATAGAGTGGAAAAAATACTTCCTGTGCTTCAGAAACTGTATGTTTATTGAAGTAATTAAATTGCATTTGCCATTTTTTGCAGTTATATCACACTGCTGATTCATTTTCAGCTTATAATTCCCTACAATTCAAAGATCCGTTTTACATCTACTGTTGCCTAACCTTGTAACATCTGTACCTATCTGTGCATTTTCTTTTTCCTTGAAGATCAGCTTTATATGATTCCGTGGAAATGTGGAACCCTTCTATTAAAGAACAATATACTGTATACCTTTGGTCATCAGTTATGGGAAGAGAAAATAATAAATGGGCATTGCTTTACATTCCACTTGTAAGTTTTTAGATTAGATCTTACCATAATGCGCTAAACAAATCCTTATGGCATATTTCTTATTCTGTCTTCAAGTCTTGTTCTGCCATATTTAGAAAATAGAGAAGCTGGTTCTTGTATTTGCTACAGACAATTAGAAGATGTTCAGAGTCCACCTACTGCTCATAAAAGATTTTATGAGACATATCTAACAAATTGGTTACCCAATGCGTTTTATTAATCTCTAAGACAGAGCCAATCATTCAAGAGAGTCATAGCAGATTGAAGATAGACTCACTAGAACTGCCCTTTAACCTATTCTCAGAGAACAATATTTGTACTGTCAACAAGGTCAGAGAACAATATTTGTACTGTCAACAAGGTAATAATGAGAGATGTATTGTTCCCAATATTTTATTGTTAAAAAAACAATTAATTAGGTGTGGTTGAAGTCAGAAACTTGTAATAATCTACTGCAAACTACTATTCTAGATATGCTCTCTGCGCAAATTATGCAGCATTGGAGATTGAAAAATACTGCCACTAAAAAAGAATGTAGGGGAAGATAGATTTAACAAATTCACTATGGGCTTTTCCAAGTTGCAATGTTCAGAGGGTAGTCTTTTTTCCTGGTTTTAGCCCCTGCTCCACATCAGCTACAAGAACCAAAGGTTCTAGCCAATCCACTGTTTGATTCAAGGCCCAGTTGATGGATGCCCCTTCTTTACCCTTTGTATGCCTGCCAAGAATTCAAGTACAAATTGGTCTTCTTTCAGTGGATGTGTCTTTTGAGTATTGGGGGAAAACATATACACACACAAACACACATACTAGACCAATGTTTTTCAACTTCAGAACTTCAAGATGTGTGTTGAAGTACACACATTTAAAAACTGTTGAGACTGAGAAACACTGCATTAAACAGTTCTTCTGATTACTTGGAAAAACTCAATTTCACCTGATTTGGAAATTGCTTCTGTTCCCACTGCTTTTTTTTGTTTGTATATGGTCAATCTTTTCTCTGTTTAGGAAATATCTCTAAAAGGATGATCCAGCTGGTCATGAGTTATCTAATTAGCTTTAAAACCCTATTGCAAAGAGCTTAAAGAATCAGGTGTCAATAAATTAATCTCCTTTGGAAAGTCCAGGGCTTCCCTTCTGAAATTTGCAACTGCTTGTCCCCTCTTCTCTAAATGAAGGCACCACCTGTCCTTTTGCTGAGGTTGGCAGGAAGTGCAGATCCACTTAATTATAGTCTGATTCAAGAAGGAAACTTCTGGAATTTCTTTTTAGAAAACTGGCAGGGAGGGAAGGGACAGATTCAAGGAGCTGTGAATGTTGTTCCTAAATTTGTCACTAAATAAACTTCAGGTATAACAGAGCAGCAAATAGTTTTGACTTTTTGCTTTGCAGACGCTTCCTAACTGTATTTCAACCTGACAATTCTAAATGTGTCAAATTGCCATTCCTTTCACATAATCTACAGCCAGAAATTAAGTTATTGGTAACTCAGTATGATGAAGTCCAACATAACTTCATAAAATCAATTTAGAAAGACTGATCTGCAGCCATGGATATCTGTAACTGCAGAGGCATATCAACCAACTCATATAGTGGTAGAATAGAATAGAATAGAATAGAATAGAATAGAATAGAATAGAATAGAATAGAATAGAATAATAACTTTATTGTCACTTTAAATGTACATTAATCAGCACACGTTAAAATGAGATTTCATTGCATACAGCTCTCAAAGGGTGACTCTCTGCATACACTGCATAAACATGGCAAAAATATGCATATATCCACATACACACACACACACACACACACGACCCAGAGAAACAACACAGTCTAGTTCAGATGTATACATATACATGGAGAGAAAAACAAATCTTGCAGATTTACCAGGCAGATAGTATAGGGAACAAAGCTGTTATAGAATCTGGTAGTCCTGCTAGAAATACTTTGAAACCTCCTCCCAGGGGGGAGCAATAGAAACAGACCGTGAAGTTGGTGTGTGGGATCTCTAAAAATGCTTCAAGCTCTAAGCACATAGTGCTTATAAGCAGTGCCCTGAAGAACAGGAAGTGGGCTTCCTATAATCTTCTCAGTTGTCCTTACCACTCTCTCTGTCTGGACCTTCTGTCTGAGGCACTGCTACCACCAAACCAAACAGTGATGCAGTTTGTTAAGATGCTCTCAATCATACCTCTGTAAAAAGTGGCCAGGACAGAAGGAGAAAGATGTGCTCTCCTCATCCAATGCAGGAAATGAAGATGCTGGTTTGCACACTTCACTAAGGATGATGTGTGGAGAGACCAAGTCAGATTGTTAGTTATCTGCACCCCCCAGATAATTGATACTGTTGACCACCTCTACAGCTGCCAGCTTGATATAGAGTGAAGTATGGCTATGCCGGCTCTTTTTAAAATCTACAATGATCTCCTTTGTTTTATTAATATTCAGAACCAGGTTACTTCTATTGCACCAGTCCACCAGAGCCTTCCCCCCCTTTCCTATAAGAATCTTTACTGTCATCCTGGATAAGACTCACCACTGCCGTGTCATCTGCATACTTCACAATATGATTCGTAGCAGATTGGGCAAAGCAGTCATGGGTCATCGAGGTGAACAGTAATGGACTCAAGACACAGCCCTGTGGGGAACCTGGACTCAAGGAGATGGAGTTGGAAACTTTTCTTCCAACTTGCACAACCTGGGGCCTATCAATAAGGAAATCAAGTATCCAGTTACATAAAGGAGTATTAAAACCTAATAGGCCCAGTTTGTTCACCAAATGCTGAGGAATTATTGTGTTGAATGCCAAACTAAAATCAAGAAACAGCATTTGCACATGAGTATCCTTCTCCATGTGCGCCAAGCTAAGATGAAGCACACAGGAAAGTGCATCATCTATAGAGTGTTTATAAAGATGCAAGAGAAAAGAGAATGGAGCTCTGTAGGGTAATTTGTATCCCCATCTAGAAATGCACTTCTATATCCAAATTTGTGTGTTCATGCTTTATACAAAATTCAAATCCTCTCATCAGTTGATCTGTTCCTGAAAAACTGTACCATAATTCTCATCATTCTCAAAAAGAATATCTATGAGCATGCTGGTTGGGGATGATGGGGAGTACAGTGCAACTCCTGTAAGGACATCAGGTTGGGTTATGCTGTCATGTGTACATAATGAACAACTGCATTCATTTTGGTATAACATTTATCTAAGAAACCCTGAGGTTAAAATTTGGATTAGTCCACACCTTAATTATACTGTTTCCGCTAGTTAAATCACCTGGAAGGTCACTGGAAGTTCTTTTCCAGTAGAGAAATCTCTGGAAAATTCCAATCTCAAAATAACCAATAAGATTCTGAAAAAAATTATGACCAAGATGTGCATAAAGATAAAATACAATAGCACAAAACCCAATGCTAAGGAGAGAAAATACAGACAAAGAGATTTTATTGTCCCAGTAAAACAGTCTGCTTACATGAAACTTATCTTACATAAAGAGACTGTTTCTCTAAACTAATGGTGAGAATCAGGACACCTTCAGATACATTGAAATTGAATATCCAGTCAAATCTGAAGAGGTTGAGTGGAAATCCAGGATTCCCTTACTTAAGAAAGTCCTTCAGAAACTCCCAGAACCTGGAAACACGCTTCCCTGAAGTAACATTTCAAAAGAAATTGATGCTACTAGTAGAAAAAGTGACATAGAATCTAAATTCGTAAAGGTATTAATGGGCAAGCAAAATATAAACTGGCCTAGATCTTTCTCGTTTACCCATTTTTGGGGTAGTGAATTGCTTCTTTAATTTTATTTAAAGGATTTAAAATCGTGTCCACAATAAGCAATTGTCTAACCCAAAGGCAGGAATATAAAATCAGATCATCAGAGAAAATGTATATGCTAACTATTTATTTACCCCATATCTTATTCCTGTATTAAAGAAAATCAGTAGACCCACTTAATTATGTAGGGAACATACATTCTATAATGTCTGTAACCCTCCAGTAACTCTGCAGTGAGGATTCTCATTCTTTCCCTAGAAGTTCTGACTAAAAAAATGCTTTCCTGACCTTTCTGAAAAAAGAAAGGACAAATATGAAAAAGGAAAGAGATCCCAGCAAACTTTCAGCAATGTATACAGAGTTGCCCCCTGCTAATTAATACATACTATAGATTATAGAACACCCCCTCTGGACAGTCAGTTCAACTATCTACAGCTCTTTCTAACAAAATGAAAATGTGTATATATAAAAAAACATATTATTTTCATCATATACTTCACCTATTCATACGCAGTCCATTTATTCTTAAACATGCATACCATATCAGAAATATTTTTCACATGTGAGTGAACACAAGCAAAAAAAAGGACCAGTTTGGCATGCCTATTCACATACCAGGCACAGAATTAGAGAAGGTACCGACACCAAGTACAGCTATAAAAGTTTGCCACAACGGGTGCCTGTTTGACGGACCTGTTTGCTTTGAAATTTTGTGTACTCAAAGCTCATTTCAATCCTCAAATGAACACTAAATAGCAAGAAAACACCGTGGTTTCCATTTCTCTCATCCAAGACTGGATTTGCTGCTTCTTTCCTGAATATGCATCCAACAGCATGTCTTTTGGCTGCTGCCACCCCATATGGGCTCTGCTCTGTGTCCCATTTCTATATCCTTTAGCATCCATTTAAAGTCCTCCAGCAGAATCTCTGCAAGTATCTTCACTATTTAATAAAATACTTTAACTTCTCATTATCATGATTAGAAGGATCACCTTCACTAACTAAAGCAGACTCTGACACCAGCCCTGGAAGTATGGAATTACTTCCCTCTCCCTCCCATTTTCCCTGTACATTACCTTCCAATGAGACAGGCTCAAAGAGCCCAAATTGCTCCAGCACTTTAATGAAGAGGACCAGAACCACCAAAACAGCAATCATCTCCAGACCTTCCAGGTTCATGGTGAGAGGGACTCATGGCATCCAGCCCCCAG